GAGGTCAGGACAAACTTGTCACATTTTATTCATTTCATTTTCATTCATTTCAATTCCCTCTTCAATTTGAGCACTGTAACCTGCAATCCAAAGAGTAGATATGACAGCAGCATTACACTGTGATTCTGAATTTCACTGAACCATCAATTTGTGTAATTGCTGTTGATTTTGCTTTGTCATCCTAAATGTTTAACCTACATAAAAGATATCAACTCATTTTTAATTAATCACTTTGCCAAAAGCCAACATATTTTAACCTTAAATGAAGATAAAATAATTCCCCAAGTGATTCCCTATTCTGCAGTTTGGCTTGGTGGCTGTTGAAATAACAGCTGCTGAAGTTGTATTTTCTTTCTCTTCAACACAATTAAGCATGACTGCATTAATAAAATTTATCCAACACAACAAGAATCATGAACGATAGAAGTGTGGTTACCGAAGAGAAGTTAAAAAAGAAAGAAAAGAAAGAGTAAGATGGCAAAGGAAAGTGATGAAGGAAAATGAAAAGCATAAGGATTCAAAGAGAGAACAAAGGAAGAATAAAGGACAGGATGGGCTTAAGGGCAGAAGGAGATGCTGAAGCCAACAGCATGAAGTGTCTGCTCAAATGGACCATGAGGGGGCAACTTCTGGCTCGTGGAAGATTTTCTTCTGGTCATCAAGCATCACATCATGGAGACACAAATGTAAGTATAACCACAGACCCACCCAGAGACGCAGACACAGCCAAAACCCTTCTCTGTTCTTACCTCATACTGTACATGACTCATTCTAAAGCCAAAGTCTTGTCTTCATCTGGTCCTCACCCATCCTCTTTTTCTCTTTCATTTTCTCTGTTTGGCTGGGTTGCCAGAAAACCCCACTTCCTAAACAAAGCCTTGGTATTTCCAATACCCTGACTGTACTGACAGAATTGTGCCCACATTAACATTAGCACAAAAGATCTAATTATTAATGGAAAAACCACGCAGAGGCCTGTCCCATTAAAACATCAAATATTTATCTTGTTACCATCATGTCTAAAAATCTGAATATATCTGAAATGATATATTTTACTGCCTCACTTTCTTATTTCATCTGGCTCTTCCATACCTCTCACCCACACATGCTTTAGATAAAACATCATAAAACATCATCTCTTCACTGCCCTGTCACCAGTTCCGATTTGGCACTGCCTTGCCCTTTAGGCGCCCAGTTATATGTTATGTTGTGTCACATGTTATGAGTGTATATGAGTGACCTCCTGCTGGTATCCAAATCCAGGTTTTTTTTTTTTTACTTTTATTTATGTTACAACTTAAACAACTAACTAAAACCCCCAACATTGGTGTAACGAAAGTCTTCAAAATACATGTATTTGATTAAGTTTTGCACCAGTTAAATTACCAGAGTTCCAGGATTTAATGAATTAACCAGTGGATTGCCATGCACTCCACTGAGTAACTACAAGCACAGAACTCCGTCTTTCAAGACTACTAAACACCCATTGGTTATGATGACTTATGAAATAATGCATCAAAACTAGAAGAAGAAGATGGAGAAGAGAAAAAAAAATAAATTGGAAGACAGGAAGGAGAAGAAGAATGAGAAATAGAGAGAGAACAAGGGGAAGGAAAATAACAATGGATAATGAGCAGCAATGATAACTGTGAAAATGGTTCATCGGTGCTCAAAAGGCTTTGGAAATGTTCTATAATTTGACCAAAGGTGAGTCTGATGGTGATAGTGATACCATGGTCTACCTGCAAAATGTTGCCTCTTAGAGATGTTCATCCTTGATCACAACTTCACCTCTTTGAGGGAAAGAAAAAACACATCTTTCCTCAGCATTGCCAGCTGGACCCTGGATTTTGCATAGGGAGTAGAGCCTGAGGCATAGATTACATCCTTTTCATTTGGTGCCAAAGTTTAAAATGAATATAAAAACCTTATTGGGACAAGTTAAAGTCCCAACAAGTCCCAAGATTTTACAGTATCACATCCCCTGGTTAACTAATCCTCAGACTGTTTGTGTTGTTGCATGCTGCAACACTGCTAATGGTGTGAACAGCATATTAAAAAGATTCCCAAAAAGAACATGATTGTGTCTTATATGATGGGGTTAGAAAGGCATTTTAATTAATAAAGCGTTTGTTCTGTCTTAACAGGCTTGACAAACTCAAATACTCTCTAGGGTGCAGGTTAAACCTCTCTTGAAAAAACTGTCGGCTTAATGGCCCCTGCCTTACGCTGATAACTGCCAAGGTGTCTCCTGCTCTTTGAAAGTGGGTGGATAAAGGTGCTAAAGCCTTTGTATAAAGGCACCGTGAAACATAGCCCTGTGTCTTTTTATTTCTGTCTTTGAAGTGAATTGAAATTCAGTTCAGGATTTTGTTTGAAAACGCACCCTGCCCCCAACTCCTGTTTTCCTTCTCTAAACTTCAGCACAGAACACAAAGTTGGAGCAGGGCTGTTGTCCTTGAGTGTCCAGGTTGTTTGACTTTTATGTTTTGTTTGAGTTCCTTCACAAGTCGATTGAGGGCGTCAGTCATAGAGTGAGAGGCAGATAAAGGAGGACATGCTGGCAGGCAGAATGGTGGGAGCCAAGGAGTCTGTCAAACTTCATCTCTGCTACGAAAATGGAAGTAGATGGGCACAACTCTCAGCACAACCGCAGGACGTAGAAGAGAGTGCAGGGAAGAGGAGGACGTGTGAGGGGAATGCCAGAGAACCATGTCATTGTGGGTGACAGTCAATTTGTCTGTGAATCAATGGGCTTTGAGAGATGCACTCCACCGCAGGCACCAGCCGAGCTGATGGTATTAATAAGGGGGTACTTACTTGGTTTTTATGGAAGTGCTGTACAACATTCTGTATGTCCCACCCATTATATGCCAAGCAACAGTTCACCCATCACTTTAAACCATCCGGCCATCAGTAGACTGCTCTCAACAGACAATTTTGAGCATTTTGGTTTGCTTAAACAACTTGTGACATCTTGTAGTCGTACAAATAATGTTTCCTCTCAGTACCAAAGGTAGCAGTAGCATGACATTATTATACCCCTACAAAAAAAACAGAAGGAAGAGCTTTGTGCAAATGATTGGGTAAACAAAATGTTTGTTGAGTGTTTGTTGGAGCACTGTAGAAAACTGGATGCACTGCCATCTGTTGAACCTGGTGGGCAAGTTTTACTTCTTTTACACTACCACTGCTCTATCTATATACTGCAGAATACCATTTGACAAAGACAACATGTATAGTACCGTATATGGATGATAAAATAGATATTAAATGCATGTCTAATACTTTCCCTACAAAAGTCCATTCTGTCCATCCTGAGATTTAAAGGTTCTCCAGATGTTATTATAGCACCCAAATTAGATAGATTCAAAGACACTTTTCGCCTAGTTACTCTAAACATGTTGTCAATTTACACATAGAATGAAGATTGATAGGCAATGACCATGATCTTTACACATACTATATATTATGTTCTTTGTCCTTAGTGGTGTTATCGTTAGTGTAGTTATAGTGGTGTAAATAAATAAGTTTCACAATGACAAAATATAAAAGGCACCAAGAATTTGTGGAGTGATATTTTTTGAACTTGAATGATTAAGAAGATTTGCATATTTAAATTCAAACTTTGCATATGTTATCTCAGGCTTTTTGAAATAATTTCTCTCTGGAGGACTACATTGTGCAGCAAGCATGTGCAGATTAAATATCATTTTAGCTGTTTTACTACAGTCATATACATAATGAGTTAATCATTGTTAGCCTGAAGCATGATATGGGAATTGTGATAATGAGCTTAACTTGTAGGTGCTACAGTGGAGGACCACTTGACAGTTAGTCCTGTCAGGGTCTACAGTGATAACTAGTCTGGTTAAGGAAAGCCCTGAAGCAAGATGTTATGTTTTTCTGGGTGCTCAGTGTTGTGTTGGAAATTATTTGAATTACTTGTGTTGCCTTGAATGGTGATAAGATGGAGATCAGACAAATAAGTCACACTAGCCCTGACTGGTTTTACCCTGGATGAACTACCCTGGTTGTAATTACAGAATAGAACCAGTAGGGAGCACACTTTTCATGCCATCTCAGTGTAGTCTATGGCACTGTATTTTTTAGCTACACCGCACTTTATTAGTATTAAGTATGTGCAGCATGCCACCAACCTCCAATGAAGTTCACTGTATGCATAATCTACTCTACACATGAAGGTCCAAGTGTAGTGGTCTGTGTAAATAAAAAACATTATTAGTAAAGATTACTACCATCTTTGTGTCACATAATAAATTAGGCTACCTGACAGCATAAATTATATTGTTTTTAAAAGGTGAGAATTAGAAAAATTCACTCTTAGTAAACCAATGTCAGAAACACTCCAAACAGGCCTTACTAAGTGGGGGTATTTATGTATTTCAATGGTTTTGATTATTCTGTTTTAGTGCCGGAAATGGTGGCACTAGAAACATCAAGAGAGCCATTAAATCATTGAATTTAACAGTATTATGAATAAATATGAGTGTGGAGATCACTCCTAGGTAACATGAAAATGTATCTCTCTCTCTCTTTCTCTCTCTCAGTCACTTCCCCCCCTGGCCTACTTTTCCCAAGGCATGCCTAATTAGTCCATATTGTACCAGTCTGGTACAACACACCTCACACATGTATGCACCCTCACGGGCACATAACTTAATTTTATGTTTTAAAGTAATTCTACTCTTTAACTCGCCTGGTCTCTCTCTGTATATTATTATTATAATGATTATTATTATGACGTTTACTAATGGTGGTTGTACTTCCCTTAAAGTTTGACAATGCATTTCTTAATCAATTTGGCATCATTTAATGTAATCAAATGCCTTTGACATCTATTTTTTTTCTACATAAATGGTGATCTTCCTAGAAACATTTAGAGATGTGTGTCTGGCAGGATCCCAAATCTCTGTTCAAAGTTTGAAGGTGGGCAGGGCAGGGCAGGGCAGGTATAGGGTTTATAGGGAGAGGGAGTTGCTTCTGCTGCAAACGGGCTTCCCCAAACCTTTCCTTGCGGGTCCCGCGCCAGGAGTTCGGCATTGTGGCCCGGTCTGCTATCCGCTTGTTCTTGGAAACAGCGTCAGAGAGCAGCTGAGAGAGGCTTAACATTTCAAACGTCTGGCGGTAGGCTGCAAAGTTTCCACCCTGACAAACACTGTGATGTTGCAGCAGACTGGAGCAGCACAGCACAGCTCACGGCTTGGTGTTCAATAGGAAACTGTTTGCTGGAAAGTTGTGGCGCACGGCCTCTCTAAACCTGGAATCACAATTTTAATGCGTCGTGTTAGTTTCTGTCTGATGGAAGCTGATTCATTTCAATTAGCAGAACCTGTTGCGTCTGTGCGTGTTATGTTGCAGGCGCAGCAGTGTTGGAATTTTTATTTCTTAATTCTTAAGTCTATTTTTGTGTTTCAAATGTGTGCGTAAAACACCACCGTTGTGATTCATCAGTTCTCTTCAATTTTCGGCAGACTATTAATTAATTATGCTTTAATAAGTAACTATCATAATCACGTTTGATTTGTTGTATCTTGAGCTAAAATTATTTTTATGCATAAAAGACTGCTCAGAGTTAGCAGCAACATAGTGCATCACGGATTGAAAGTGGGATCCCGGTGCTATTAGTCATAGATGTCCTCTCAACTCAAAGGAGGCCTGCAGCTAGAGACCAGAGCAAAGCTTTCTATACTAAAATCCGAAGAAATTGTTGACGTGACAAGTCCTGACGGATGCGTTGGGCAGCACGGCTGCCACGCCGACGGAGGGGAGAATAAAGTGACTCTGTCTCCAGTGCGCCATCAGCAGAAACCACGCAAGATGGCCCGTAGCCCCAAATGTGCCCGCTGTCGAAACCACGGCGTCGTTTCGTGTTTGAAAGGCCACAAACGGTTCTGCCGCTGGAGGGACTGTCGCTGTGCCTGCTGCCTGCTGGTGGTGGAGCGGCAGCGCGTCATGGCAGCGCAGGTCGCACTGAGGCGGCAGCAAACTGCGGAGGTGAGGAGAGCACAAGGACAGGTCAGTGTTGGAGAATAAACAGATGGGTAAATCACGACCTCTTGTAGATGATTATCAGGAGGCAAACCGTCAGAGTAACAAAAAGTGATATCAAAATGCGGGGTCATATGTGTAGCCTATATGAGAGGAAATAAATTATTGAAAAAACATTCAAATAAATATTGCATGTGTAAAGACTCATACATGAAGGCAAAGGTAAATTGAGAGGGTTAGGGTTGTAGAGGGATTTTTATTTAACACTAATTGTTGTAATACAGTAATGATTTTGTTGAGCAGTCCATATCTTACCCTATACTTTTGTGAACAGAAATCCTAGATAATTATTTTACATGGGGGTACATACAGAAGCAAGAAGTGTGTGTATATATAGTCTATATGACTTCCTGATTGAATAAACCTAACCAACCAACTTGACAGTTCACTCCAGCCGTTTATATATATATATATGTATATATGAATCTTATGTTGTGATACTATTGTTATACTAACATTAAAAAGATGAGTAATTAGAATTAGTTGTTTTTTGCTCTCCAGTAATCGGCATTTATAACTGAAATGTGAATTTGTCAATTACAAAATGTTAATATTGCCAATATATTTTAGATTGGATTATATAATTAAACAGTGTTGAATTAATATATTAAAATATAATATTCATATTATAATATACTAACTAAAATAGTACAATAATATAACAGTGCATTTAGATGCTTCTCTATACAAAATGACTTGAAGTTATACTTAATAGCGACATTTCTTTTATGCCAACAGCATAAATAGCCAAATATCTCCCTTTAAAAAAAAAAAATCTTAATCACTAAGAGCTCTTCTTCTTCTCTTACATAATGCATTGATTCCTCTTTAATTACCTTTGGGGTATAGTCTCCATATTATGTTCAAATGTCTAATTCCTGGTCCCATCTTTCTCCCAGGGTAAGAGGGGGGTCAGGTGTGCAACTCCCTTGCGGAGAACGGCATATCAGCGCTACACCAGAGCAGCCGAGCCCAGCATCCTGGCTAAGAGCCTCCTGCAGGGTAAAGTTTAATTAACATCTCCTCTCTCGTTAACATACTTCTTCTCTCCTAAACTATGGTAGAAAGTGCAGAGGTTTTATTCCTTTTTCAGTTGATCAGATGAAACCCTAAAAGTCAACATTTTGCTTAATTGCTTTTAATTTATTGAGTTTGTCAGAATTCATGCAGGATCATAAATTGATCAACTTGGTTTGTCATCTGTTAATGGAGGAAGTGATTCACTGTTTGCTGACCTGTCAAAATAAATAATCTTATACTTGCCCAGGTTGAGTTGTAATTGATACAAAAACAGGTCACAAGTATTCTCTCTTGAGTAGATGTGTAGTAAAATTAATTTTTACCAAAATTACATAAATCAGATTAATGTTTAATTTAATAATTTATTAGAACATTAATTGAATAGAGGTTTACCTTACACAACCAGTCCATGTCTAACCACTTATCCTAGTAGATTAAAGGTGGTGTATGCAATTCTGGAGAAATCCAATACCTTGACAAATACCATGATATACAGCGAACAACATTAGCTAAGTTGCGGGTTAGCAATCTGTCGCTACAGTTGCTGCTGCAAGGCTAACGTGCAGAGAGGAGGAGACAGTTTCTCAGAGCCAGCACACCAGCTCCAGTCAGCGATACTCAACTCTCCTGTTACAATAGCAAACACCACAACAACAGCATATCTTGGTGAACTAGAAAGTAAGCTGAATGTCTTTGGCACACAAATCATTGCTGGAATGTCTAGAATAAAGTTGTGTGGCTTATTTAGAGCAATGTTGTTTGTTTCCCATTTACAGAGCCAGGGTTGTGTACAAACACCAGATTTTTCAGTGCACACACAGAACAGATAACTAGCAGACCTTTGTGGACATATTGAATTTGAAAAAAAAAGACATGTATTAGATTAGAATCACATCCCCACTTTTAAGCATGATTCTAAACCAAAAACCAGGTCTTAACCCAAAGTAAATGTTTGAGTTTGTGGGGACCAGCTTTTTGTCCTTATACCAAAAAGTCAGTAAATAAACAAATGTATCCCCACAAGTAGACACACATACCTTCACACAAGTGGATACTTTTAAACAGACATTTTCATTTTGTACTTATGCCCACAATGTAACTGAAACTGAAAGCCTGTTTGGGCCATACTGCCAGAGCTTCTTCTCAGATGTCATTATCCAGCATTACACACACTTATTTTACCTAAACAAACCTGATCACTGTGGCTTTACTATTTCACAGCAACAGGGCATTACATAGTGTGTATTAATACCTTCTGGCTTTGTCTTCTTTATAGCCCTCTCAGCCACTCTGTGCTCTCAGTAAAGCATAAATGACACCGCTAACCAACTGCATAATTAAAATAATAAAGAACAAAGTGCTCAAACATAAACATAACAGTTAATTGGTTGGAACAACTTCATTATTCATAAATAAATAAAACATATGAATACATAACAGCATAACGTTTTGCTCCTTATGCAGGGATCAAACCGGTGGAGCTGCTGGAGGACGACTCCTCCTGCTGGTCAAAGCAGACACAGCGTGACCAAACACACTTTATGTGTCCCCCCATCAGTGCCCGGATGAGAAAGAGGCGTGCCTTCGCAGACAAGGAGCTGGAGAACGTTATGCTGGAGCGGGAGCTGAGACAGAGAGAGATGCAGAGCGACATTTCCTTCTCCTCCTCTGCCATCGTCCCCATGCTTCACCCTTCGCCCCTGCCCATCTCCCCAAGCCTCCACTGCTGTCTTCTCAACAAAGACCCCACTGCTCCAGGGACGTCCAGTTATGTGCCTTTGTATAAATATAAGCCTTTTTATGAGTGTGACTTCCAGTTCTATCAGTTCTTCCACCTAAAGAGCAGGTCTTCCGCAGAAAGCGACTATAATGACATCTTATGTCAAAGCTCAGAGCAAACCAGGCAAGATGAGGAGGTGCAGAATAGCTGCAAAGGCTTGGAGAAGAAAGATCAACCAGAGCTGAGACCACTACTATCACAACAAAGACTCGACCATCATGGCAACGCCTTGTCAGGTCTAGACCATGTCAAATTCCTTTCAAAACCAACAGAAATAATGGACTCAAATGGCTCTCCAACCGTCACACACTCTATTTTTGGATCAGATCAGAGTATCCTGGGCAGGCCAGATGTTAGTGCACCCAGCAGGACTTTTGATCCCAGACCTCTGACAGCTAAGGGCTGGTGTGCAGGCACTCCTGCCGACCAGGCAGGTACTCATTCCGACTCTGTCAAGAGCCCTCATGGCAGCTCAGTCAGGACTCCCACTGTGAGGCCATTACCTTTCTCTGTAGAGGCTCTGCTGAGGGCCTGACAGCAAATGGAAAGCAGCATACTGCACTTTGTTTGTGTGCGGACTAAGAATTGATGCTCAGTGAATAAATATAAAAATGGCTAGGTGTATTACAGGTTTTGAAACACTTCTCTTGACAAGAGCTGGCTGCTATAAATTGGCAATAGAAGAAATAATTATGAAAAAATTCCAGAACATGTCGTTTCTCCCCCTTATTTTTCATGAAAATGTATTCAGCTCTATTTTAGCTCTAATTAAAAAACAATGAAACATATAAATGTACTTTATTACTGTATTTTCATGTTTATGCATTGAGCATATTTTATACAAATATACACTTTAAAAATGTAATCCTTTTTTATACTCCTGTCAGCAATGCCATGAAAATACACTGAACCGCTCTGCTTTGACCCTCTCCCATCAGTCTTTTTTTATTCTCTTTTCCTGCAGAAGAAATACACAGTACATCCATAAAACAAAGTTGATGAAAAAAAGTCAAGTAGTGTTTGAACTTAGCCCACTTCTTACGTTATGCTTTGATTTTTAAATCCAAGTGTAGCTGTGGCTGGCTGAGCTCTGCGCTGCTCTTGGGCATTGCAGTATGAAAACAAACCAGGTGCTGCTTAGAAATCTTTCTTTAATCGCATAAAAAACTAACAATGAAAGGAGGTGCCAAGTTTTTCCAAAAATGTTTCAGTAAAAGCGCAGAAAGGGCTGACAGCAAAAAAGACATATTTCTCCATCTGTCCTCTCCTTTATACCCAGTGAGAAAAATGTATTTATTATTTATTGCTATTTCATGCGCTCTATAGTTCTCCAAATGTAAGACATTTTGTCAGCCTGCAGCCTATCATTATGATTGCATGACCTTAAACTTACTGATCATGTGGCATATTGTTTAAAATTTCATAAAGTATCATTTCATCAAACCAACAGAATGAGGTAAGATGGGAAATATTCCCCAAAGGCTGAATAGGAGGGGGCCCGTGTTGCCAAGGCGACATTGTTCTTTATTGTATGCTCAGCCTGACGCTGGTTGAGTTTGTTTGAACATGCATTTGATCTATATCCACTTTCCCCTTTTTCTCTTCTCCGTTTTTTTTGCAGCATTGTAATCTCGCAGAGATGGAGGTCAGATACTTTTGACAACTCTGGACCTTGTGGCGTCAACACAGAGGTGATAGCCCGCTGCTCCGTGTCTTTGTTTGCCAGTATCTACCAGCATATCAGAATGCCTCTCTCCCCGTCTTTTCACAGACAGACAGAGAGGGGAGATTGGCACAAAGGAAGATGAGGTTGTGAGACTGAAAGCACTGAATGTGTGCCATTGTTTTTTATTGTGCACTATACGCAGATTTTACAATGTTAAAACCTCTTCCTAGCAGAGAGTGCAAATTGCCATTTTCACTACGATGATAAAAAGATAAGCATCAGTCACAAAGGGGTGATAATGACTTCTATGAAGAATAACACACAGGATATAAATCAACCCCCTCACCCCCCCTAGCAAAGCGAGGGGAAAAGCTCATTTATCCAGTTCCCCAATGTTTCATTCCGGAGTGTCCTTAGACGAGGTGTATGGCAGCTTAACAGATAGCGACCCCGCTCTGAAATGCTATTCACACGTTCTTTTTAGGATTGTACCAGGGACAGATAGATTAGCTTTATTGTTCTGAGGTCTTTGGAAAGGTTTGCTTCGATCTGCAATTGTCAGTTTATTACCATTTTCCTTTGTGGGCTTGGAGGAAAGGAGAGGGATAGAGGATGTATGTGTGTGTATGGGGTGTGGGTGTGGGTGGGGGTTATTGGATTAGGTTTGCTGACAAAACAGTTTCAACAGGTTGAAACATGTTTTTGGATTTGTAACAGCCCAACCGGTGTCCTCCCTCACCCTTTGCATTTTGTCGCCCACCTCTGGTGCTCCTGCTGTTCATGCTCTCGTTGTGCCTCATTTCCATTTCAGCAGGATTGATTTCACTGCGTTCAGGGTAGAAAAGCTTTGCTTTGGCATTTCCCTGTAACTCTGATCTTCATATTTTCATCATACAGACTCTATCAGAAGCACCGGTGACTGGAAAGGTGGTAAAAAATAACGAGAAGAGAGTTGGTGGGTGGAGGAGACATAACAAAGAGCTAGCCCACAAGTTACATGTGCTCCAGCTCCTTCAAAACTCTTTTCATACACCTCCACTCTGTTATTTCAAACTAGGAGATTCTTGCTCCTTCTTCCTCCCATCGATAACCGAGCATTGCAGTCTTTTCCTACGCTGCCATGTTCCTGGCCTTGCATGAAGTCATAGCAATACAGCTGTATAGTTTGGAACTATCAAAATGATCCTTGTTACCATTGCCTTCATTTCCTTTGCCACCTTGCAGTGTTTACACTTGCTGTGTGCAAAGGCAGACGTGCAGGGAAGGTAAATTGTCATTCTCATTTTTCACTCCAGTCTCCCTTCAAGACCTGCCTGAAGCAGCCAGACCTCTATAGTTGTTTGGTATGATCTACATATCAGTCTTAGCTCTCCCCTTGGACAGATCATCAGCTACATTTAGTGTCAGGGCCCAGTGGAAAGCCTTTGATCGTCCTGCCAGCTCTCCTCATTACAGAATGAGAGTGGACTAAAAGCATATGTCTTGGTGTGGCGAGGTCATTTCATTGGCAGTTCTAAGAAAACTGCTATCTGAATTTAATAGTGTTGTTATGAGATGTTTAGACAGTGTGAAGAACTCTTTCTGAAATACTAAATTTGAATAGACTGAAAGAGTATTATTTTCTAGTGATTATCCTGTTGGTCCACTCAAATGGCTTGAACTTATATAAAGACAAGTTCCCATAGTTGTTTTGTCTCATAAACCTGGTGTATTAGCATGACAAAATTCTGATATGTTTTTCAATCAAAACAGCAGCCCTTACAGAACTTGTTCTCAAATGTTCTCATACCTTCCAGATGGAGGAATTCCATATTTTGCCTTTCAGATTGATTATTTCACAGAATAATTAAATAAATTCACTTCTTTCGTTCTTAAAGAACTTTTTAATTAAAAAAAGTTTTTTGTATGTATCGTTTGCTTTGTACCATAAAGGGAACTACATACAGTAACTCACTTTACAACCCTGTTACTTTTTGAGAAATAAAATTTGGCTGGTGAACAAAATGCCGGAGGAAGTAAACAGAACTATGGAGAGAAACTAGCAAGTTCCCCACCTAACCCTGCACCCTTCCTCACCTATTTTGTGTGGCTAAGCAAATGTCAAATCTGGCTTACCATCTCTTCTTGTGAGCTCTTCTGTTATGACTTTCAATGGTCAGCAGACTCTTGTGATGTATAAGTTGTACTTTATTACAATTAATACGGGGCAAACCTTTTTCTGCCCTGCCCTCTGATGTTATATTAGGAGCTTAGAAAAGTGACTGGTGTTTTGGTTAATTTTGTTTGGCTTCCTTAGGCAGGATTGATTCAGCACTACTGCTTTAATCACTTCTAGGTGTATTCCAAACCTAAATCTGACTCCTCAAACAACAAAAACAAAAATGTATTATTAGCATTCAAATTAAATGAAAATAATTATACAATTTTAAGATATTAAACAACTTCAGAACTATTTTGGCTGATAGTAAGTAATTGACAGTAATCAAGACTTTCTACAGGTGCTGGAGGAAATACAGACACATTTACTCACAGGAAAATGCTACATTTTGCTTGCTCACTCACACAATATAAATTGTTCAGTGTGAGTTGTGTCAATGTTGTAATAAATTACCTGGGCAACATTAATTGACTTTGTTTCACTCAGTCAAGACAATGGTGAATTCCCTTTCCCTAAGGACAAATACTTGGAATACCCGGATGATATTTGTAATACCACTATCTTTGGTGTGCTGATGGATGTTATCATTACACTCCAGGCAGTATTCCTTCTATTTATTTCAGAGATGTATCTGCAACAGTGAGTATGAGGGGTCAGGGCTTACTGTTTGATCTGTCTGCCAACTTGCCACGCACTTTAGATTCTCTCCTGTCCCACCCTGCCCTGTATGCTGTTTGGTGTTCGGTAACCAAGCCTGACTCAGAGATACTGGTGTAGGGTTACGCTACAGCTGTGCAGCATTGCCTCAGTTAGTACACAGTCATTCTGAAACCGTAAAATGACCCCTCAAAATGAAAGAAAGATTAAGTATAAAAAAGAAACATTGTCCCTCAGGAAGGACTAATGCACATCTAGAACCAAAGGTTAAAACATTTTACCTTTACCTCTTCAACTAAAACCAGAAATAAGCTGGGTGTTGTACAGCCTGTCAGAGTTTGGAATACCAGCCTTTAATCATACTGACTCCCTCCAGCCAATGATGTAAATTATTTAGACACTAGAAAACTGTGCCAAGAATAATTCCTCAAGTCTTGTCCAAATTTGACAGCGATATCTAAGAGATGTTTGTCTTGTAAATTTTGACCTTCACTGATCAAAGCAGTGCACGTTTTAGTCTGAAATATATTGTGAGGATATATGGTCCTAGCTGTGTTTAAGATATCGCCTGAAATAACTTAAATGAGCGATGGATGGACAGACTGAGACAAACGAGACACAATCAATAGATCATATCACCAGACAACCTAGTCTGTCTGCACAGTAGAGACGGATATTGTGCAGTGCAGGCCAGACTGTGAAAAGTCAAGGATGACAATTTCACAAATAAACAGACAAAGATTACATTACATTTAGGTACATTTACTCTTGTTACTGTAATAAAGTTTTTGTAAAGTTTTTAGGTACTTGTACTTTTCGAGTATTTTTAAAAATCTGTCATTTTACTTTTATTTTTTATGCACATGGACCTATGTTTCCATCTAAAGTGTTTTACTGAAGTATCTTTTATCTCAAGTATTGAAGTTGCATCTGTTACACAGTAAGAACAAAAGTCACATGAAAAAGTCATAATACACTGTGTGAGTTTTGTGTTCATTTAGGAATTCTTTCCGTGAGGTGTGTGAGGCCTTTCCTCCTGACTGCACCATCAAACTATTTGAGGAGCGCAGCGGGACAGAAAGGCGTTCGACTGGTGCTTTGAGAAGGAACGAGCAGATAAATTGAACTTAGCAGATTCTGAATGAATTTGCAATGCATAAAGTTTAAAAAACATTGCTTAGACAGATAAAGTCTGATATTTTGTTGACGCATCCATCCACCCCAACCACTTCCCTACATGCATTGACCCTCTGTAACGTTACCTGACTTTCTCCTTTGTCCCTGCCATAATTACTACGGCCGTTAGATAGCTATGTCACGTCAGCGTAAACATATGCCATTTTGGGCACATTCTGAACATTCTGAAACAACTAATGCTGTCATTCTTCAGTTTCACTCAAACACAGGTTGAAGTGTTATAAGCTACTCAAACACTGAAACCTGTGTTTGTTATTTAAGTTTGACCTGTTTTCGTCATCTATTTGTAGGAAGCAAATCTGTCCCAGTTGTTCCATAAATTTACAGCAATGGCCATCAGAGCTAATAGAAACAACAAGGCTTTAATAGAGAACAAGCGTCTGGTCTGCCCTCTGACAGAGATATTCCTAATTGACTGTAGTTGGGTTCCAGTCTGACCACCGCCACCCTTCATTTAACAGAAGAACAAACACACCAGCTCTCGCTTTAAAAGACAGCCCTGTGTGTAACCGAGCCTGCCGTGGTTGGACTAGAAATTTCACAGCTTTAAAAACATCTTTGAAACAGGCAGGGTAGAGTTCTCTCCCACACCTCCCCACTTAACCCCATCCTGTACCATTTGGGTTTTTCCATACACTGGTGTTCATGTACAGTATTTGTGTGCTTGCATGAGTGCAGAGCTGTCCTGTCGCTATTCCAGCAGCCTTGGGGACGACTGACGGTGCCTGCGGCTGCAGCTGTGTGGCGATCCAGTTACTGTCACATGGTGCCGCTTGGCTGCCGAAGAACTACCTCTGCAATTTTAGAAACCAAAGCAGACCACAAGACTGCACTTTCTCTCACCTCTCTTGCTACATGTCTCTCCCTCCAGAAAACATTATGACATTGAAGAAATGTTGATACAACAGCTCACTGCAACCTTGAAATACTGTGTAAGCATAACATCAAAAAGTTAAAATGACACACTTTTAACCTGCATTACTTCAAAAAAAGGGGACATCTGTATCTTTTTGATATGAGGTCAAAACAAAACCCTTGTTGTGCTATTACACAGCAGTATGTCAACATGTTGTGTTTATGTGGTTGGTGTTGATCTTGCCACCTCCTGCAGCTTGCCATCTGTTAAACACTTGCTGGACTTTCGTTGTTTACAACCTTACCTCTCACTTCTCATTACCACGTTTTCTCAATACTTACTCAATACTTGTTCTCTCTTTCTCTCTCTGTCTCACTCATTAGTACCCATCCTTCCCTTCCACTCACTGCAGAGAATGAGGCACTTTTGCAGATGTGGAAGCAAACAGAGCGGTGGGAACAGGGGAATAGTTCAGCAATCTCTTTCATCAGATATGAGTATTTAGAATATAAATACATTTTAATATAGGTTATAAATGTCAGAACTTTCCTTGGAGACGTTTAAGGACTTCTAGCTGTGATCTGCTCCACACAGCTTTAGTGTAACCTTCACAGCTTGCACCCCGGTCTCAGAGCTCTCACCTTTATAAGCTAAAACCAGCACATGCCAGGCAAGTTCAGCAACTTTATAGACCAAGTGTGGCAGCAATAACATCAACGCAAAAACAACTCATACTGCGCGACCATTAAAGCAGTATTTACCCAGCTTGGTTCAAATTTTATTCTATAGAATATCCTTCAAACCGAAACTCAAACAATCCCTTTGACCACATTCTGACTCGTGGTAATCCGATCCACTATGATGTTATTCATGTCCTGATCTGTAAACCCCCTGTATGCTAACATATTGGCACCCTCTTACAAGTGATTGATTATCTCGGAGGCCTAAAAGCAGAGGATAGTGGACTTTAATGACATATAAAACCATGTTTTGATGTCAAGTTCATAGACCTTTAAGAATAACAGTTGGTACAGGCAGTGCTGGGAGGGAGTTTCAAGCATTCAAGGAAAAGTGTGGGCAACTTGAGATGGCGTGATAGCAGGAACCCTGTAGCTTTCTATAACCCTTAACTATGACATAACCTGCCAAGATCAGCAAAATGTTTTAAAGCATTTTTACTTTCTCTTTTAGTCAAGAGAGCTTATGCTCACAGACAAATCCCTCAACCACGCCAGTGCCAAAACTAAGAGATTGAAAACACAGAGGGGAGAAAGGGATGGCATACAATTTAGTCTAATAGCTTTTACAATATAAATAGTGTCAGTAAAAAGATGTTATTATACATCTTGTGTTTCAGTGGAGCACGTGTTAAAGCCATTTATGGGGAACAAAGTGTCTATTTCAGGTTGGTGTTTTGACTGGTGGTGGAATAGATAGGGGATGAGGAAAACCATGTCAATGTGACTGTATTCCTGCTCAACTCCCTCACTACTTATGAATTGTTTTCTGTTTTGAAATTAAACACTTCCCCGAATTCAGATGTGTCCAGCTTTTGACAGATGACCTTGACAGATCCCAGTCCTGTCTCCCCTTGCTCCCTCTGAGCCAAATATGGCTCATTTTACAAATTCTCTGAGAGATCGGGGAAAAACATTCACCTAAAACATCTCCTTCTACTCTTATGCAACATGATGAGTGATATGAGCAGAAAGTTGAGTAGATGCTAAAATATGGCCTGAATACTGGAAGATTTTCAGACACTTCACTAGTTTCCCAAGTGTTTTAGTGGTGAATTGGATTATTCAACTTAACTACAATCACTGTTGTTATGTTGAAAATGTATGTTCTTCTCCATGCTGCAGATATAAATATAAGGCTATCCAATTTGAATCTCTCTGCGCTCCAGTACACTGCCCACTTTCAACTTACGTGATGCTGTTACGTCCCAAGGTCTAGGGGTATCCAGGGTGTAACATAAATGTGTGGCTTCCCATTCCCAAGCAATGCCAGAACAAATGAAATACAATTTAGCAGTTTTTATTATCTTCAAAGATGAGCAGTGCCCAAAACAACAACCAAAACACTCTAAGAAAACCTAAAACTTTCCTAAACCAAAAAGTAAAGAAAAGACAAAGCTCTAAACTAGGCTTCTATTATGAAAAACAGGAGAAAAATTGTGCAAACAAAAAGGGCTTCTCATTCCTATTAAACTGCTAGTAGCTGACACAACACAGCTAAAACAAAGACATCATGAATCTAATTTTAATGACGCTTCATGGACAACTTTTCTTAATAGGGTTCACTGTAAGTAGAAGCAGTTCAAACAAGTAAACAGGTGAAGCACTGGGTGCATGATGGATGAAGCACAACTATAAATCTCCAAATCTTAAGCTGACATTTAATAGAAAATGAAAGGAGGAGCAAGAATAGCATGTCCCAAGCCTGCAAACAAACCAAAGAATAAACAATGGACAAGATACATACATAATAAATCATTCATTTGTCATTTACAGCTCATACAGGATCAGCAGCCCATATGTGGACAAAGGCTATACATGTAACACATTTTTAAATTGAATGTTTGCACTTGCAACCTGGTTACAGGTTAATCATATATTTCATTTTAAGATGTATTGTCTTTAAAGCTATAAAGAAAAGTGATTTGCTCTATCTTATTTGTAAATAAGTGCTGATAGGTCCTTTAGATTGTCTGATTAGTATGACTGTTATTAAGGCCAAAACAAAAAGACAGAGACAGCATTTGTACTACATTAAACTGACATTTGTATTTACTACAATCAGTTGAAACCCCATGACTACACACAGGTGATATCCATTTAACCAGTTACGTGACCTCTAAAACCAAAAATTATTGTTAAAACTGGTTCCAAAAGGGAGTCAAACTCCATTGACCCCCATGTTAAAAAGCCCAACTTTACAGCAGAATAAAACATGTTTACAGCCCTTGTTTACAGCCTAGTACAAAATATGGATTTAAATTATATTAAGCCTTGAAGTTCTGTATTATTAGGGGCGTGGCTGCTTTGATTGACAGGGGCTCTGACAGATAGTCGAGGGACTCCTGTCTGTTAGCTCAGCTAAAGTACAGCATCTCTGCTCTGTTGGACCTTTTTTCTTTATACAGATACCGGATGAATAAAACGTATTAGAGAAGCGTTTGAATTTATGGTGAAAACACTTTGGAACAAAAGGCGTCTGTTAGAAGGTAAGTAACGTTAGTAAAGTAACGTTAATGGCCCACCTCGTCAGTTAGCTGACGCTTTGTAATATTAACTTAATGTAAACGGTTATCATGCTGCAGCGATCTCAGAGTTCAGTAGGTTTATGGCAGTTGGGAAGAGGCTGTCAGTAACTTTCTGTCATTGTTGTGTTTACAGGAGCCAGATGAGCTGATGGCAGCATCATTGCAGATATTCAATATTGATGTTTCTATGAATGCAAGATATAATTTTAATGTTTTATAAACTTTTGCTTTTGTATTAGAAATATTTTTTGTTATATAAAATGTATCAGACTAAATTTACTTGAAATAAAATCACATTCTTCATTTATCAGTTTATGTTAATTGAATAAAGTGTGATCTAACATTTGTAGAGATGCACCTATTTACCACAAGTGCATTTGATCACTGCACTCTAAGACCTCAGAGTTTGCATCATCACAATTAATGATACCACCTAGTGGGATTCATTGTTACTCTGTGCAGGTAATTCTTTGTTTCATCACTT